GCGGCCTAGGCGGCGCGGGGGGGCGCGCACCAGGGGGCCCAACAATAATTATTCTTTAGAATAAATAATGTTCAACAACAACAACAACAACAACAACAACAACAACAACAACAACAACAACAACAACAACAACAACAACAACGACGACGACGACGACGACGACGACGACGACGACGACGACGACGACGACGACGACGACGACGACAACAAGAACAACAATTGCTGAATCGTGCGTCCTGCATGAATCGCGAGGACATCTCGAGCGATAGCGCGATTCCCACGGGGGCCACGAAGGGCATACGTCCTTGGGGCCGCAGAAGACAAGAGCGGGACCACTGAGGGCAGAAACGGGGCCACGAAGGGCAGCGAGGTGGCCGTGAAGGGCGACAGCGGGGTCACGAAGGGCCACGACGGGCGCGAACGAGCGGGGGCCACGAAGGGCATACATATATGGGGCCAGAAAGGGCGACAGCGGGGCCACTGAGGGCAGCAAAGGGGACACGAAGGGCAGCGAGAGGGCCACAAACGGCGACAGCGGGGCCACGAAGGGCACGCGCATGGGGCCACAACGGGCGCGAACGAGCGGGGGCCACGAAGGGCAATCGCATGTTGGGCGCGGAGGGCCACTGAGGGCAGCAACGGGGACACGAAGGGCAGCGAGGGGGCCACGAAGGGCGACAGCGGGGCCACGAAGGGCATGCAGATGGGGCCACCACGGGCGCGAACGAGCGGGGGCCACGAAGGGCATACGTATACGGGGCCACAACGGGCGACAGCGCGGCCACTGAGGGCAGCAAAAGGGCCACGAAGGGCAGCGAGAAGGCCACGAAGGGCGACAGCGGGGCCACGAACGGCATGCATACGGGGCCACGACGGGCACATGCGAGCGGGGGCCACGAAGGGCAAATAATGCGAGGCCACAAAAGGCGACGGGGCCGCTGAGGGCAGCAACGGGGCCACGACGGGCAGCGAGCGAAGGCGACAGCGGAACCAGTACGGGCAACGAGGGGGCTCGAAGGCGGGCGAAGGGCAGCGAGCGGCGACTGCAGTCCGTAACGGGTTGGTCGGGCGGGCAGGCCCCGACGGGCGCGTCGAGCGGACGGGTCGTTGAAGCGTGAATCCTGCTTGGACCGCCAGGAGGTCTTTGGCGGGAGCGCGACTCCCAAATGAATCGTGAGAAGGTCCAAAGCGAGAGTGCGCCTCTTGAGTGTCAAGAGGCGGCATCTGGGGGAGGAAAAAAACAAACACCAAAAAACAGGCGAGAGCGCGCTTCCTGGATAAATTGCAAGGAAGACTCAAGCGATCTCTCAACTTCTTCACCAACAAAATGTGAGTATCAGACGGGCGCCGTTGTTGTCGTAACTCGGGGGCCAGGGGCGCAGTTTAACGCTCAACACTTCTTTCCTGATAAAACAGGGTGCGGGCCCCAGGAGGGGCATGTCGATTGAAGAATAGAATGCACCCGGTAGGGGGGATCAACGATATATTTTCCTCAAATGTAAACTGATAGAACAACAACAACAACAACAACAACAACAACAACAACAACAACAACAACAACAACAATTACTAGCACGTGGGGACACACCGTTCTCACCAGTGCCAGGGTTTTCATAGGAGGCGGGCAATACCCCCACTTTGTGGGGGGGCCGGTTCAAGCTCTACCAAATTTCCAAACGACTCTTCGCCACCACCCACACCCAGCTTCCCGCCCTATGACGTTCGGACACTTCACTTCGTGGCATGCGGACGACCGTGGCTACTATTCAGGGCCCCGCGGCCGACGACGACGGCGTGCGCGCGCGAAGAAAAAACGAATGTGTCCCGCATGGTATTATTTGACAGGGATGATGGCCCTGGCAGGTGCGCAACCGTTGTTGCAGAAGTTCGAAAAAGTTGCTCGCAAAAGCCCGTTTGACAGAAATGTTTAAAAAGTGTTGGGTTTCCTACGAATCCGCAAGAGCGCGCGGGATGAAATTTTGACATTTTTTTTGAAAAAAAAACATTGGTTTTTTGATGTTTTTATGTTAAAATCGCTACGAAAACTAAGGTTTTGGAAGGATTTCGCCTTGCGCGCGCGAATGTCCACTTTACCTTATTTTTTGCAAGGGATTCTTGAAGTTTGGTTATGTTAGAACAAGAAATGTCCACTTTAGCTAATTTTTTGCAAGGGAAAACGGGGGACAACAAAACAACCGGATCCGGACACACGTTTTGCCTGAGACTTCCTCACGAAAATGATGAAAATGTGGCTGCGGCCTAGGCGGCGAGGGGGCCGCGCACCAGGGGCCCCAACAATAATTATTCTTTAGAATAAATAATGTTCAATCATTTTAAGACTGTTCGCCCTTATCTGCTCGAGTGTCGAATAACGCGAATGTCCCAAACCCTCGATACCCGCCCTTTTCGTCTTCGATCGAACCCCTTTTGGGGGGTATACCTTTCTTCCCTGCAGGCCGGGCCCCGGCAAGCGGCGGGGCGGCCGCGGACCGTCGGCCTGGCCAGCGGCAGCGCTGATCGGCGGGGCGGCCGCGGACCGTCGACCCGACCCCAAGAGGGACGGACAGGGGACCGACCACGACGACGACGACGACGACGACGACGACGACGACGACGACGACGACGACGACGACGACGACGACGACGACGGCAACGACGGCGACGGCGACGACGACGACGAGCGAAAGCGAGAGCGAGAGAGAACGACAGCAGAGCCACGAAGGACACGAAGTAGGCCACGAAGGGCGACAGCGGGGACACGAAGGGAATGCGTCTGGGGCCACGAAGAGCGCGAACGAGCGTGGGCCACGAAGTGCAGATAATGCGGGGCCACAGAAGGCAACGATGAGGCCACTGAGGGTAGCACCTGGGGCACGTAGGACAGTGAGGGGGCCACAAACGGCGACAGCGGGGCCACGAAGGGCATGCACATGGGGCCACAACGGGCGCGAACGAGCGGGGGCCACGAAGGGCAATCGCATGTTGGGCGCGGAGGGCCACTGAGGGCAGCAACGGGGACACGAAGGACAGCGAGGGGGCCACGAAGGGCGACAGCGGGGCCACGAAGGGCATGCATATGGGGCCACCACGGGCGCGAACGAGCGGGGGCCACGAAGGGCATACATATATGGGGCCACGAAAGAAAGCGAGGGGGCCACGAAGGGCTGTAACGGGGCCACGAAGGGCAGCGAGGGGGCCACGAAGGGCTGCAACGGGGCCACAAAGGGCTGCAACGGAGCCACGAAGGGCAGCGAAGGGGCCACGAAGGGCTGCAACGGGGCCACGAAACAAAGCGAGGGGGCAACGAAGGGCTGCAACGGGGCCACGAAACACAGCGAAGGGGCCACGAAGGGCTGCAACGGGGCCACGAAAGGCAGCGAGATCCCGATTCCTAGGTAACCTGCGAAGGAGTCCTAAGCGTGAGCGCGACTCCTGGGTGCCTGGGTGTCGGGAGCGCGGCGCTGGAGTAAATTGCAAGAAATTCCAAAGCAAGGGCGCTATTCTTCAGTAAATTGCAAGCAAGTCTCAAGCGAGAGCGCGACTCCAGAGCGCAGGAGGAGCGATTCCTGAATACATCGTACGGAAGTCCAAAGCGAGAGCGCGATTCTTGAATAAAATGCGAGGAAGTCTCGGGCGGGAGCGGGGGTCCTGGCTAAATTGTGAGGAAGTCTCAGGCGGGAGCCGTTGTTGTTGTAACCCGGGGGCCAGGGGGCCAGTTTGAGCAGGAAGACTTTCCTTGACAAAAAACAAGGTGCGAGCCCCAGGGGGGGGCACTTCAATTGAAAAAAACAATGTGCACCGGTGGGGGGGGATCAACAATAATTATTCTTCAAGAATGAGAGTTCAACAGCAACCACCCCAGAAGCAACAACAACCACAACAACAACAACAACAACAACAGCAACAACAACAACAACCACCACCACAACAACAAAAAACAGCAACAGCAACAGCAACAGCAGCAACAACAGGAGCAGCAGCTAACAACAACAGCAACAGCAACTACAGCAGCAGCAGCTGCAGCTGCAGCAACAACGACAGCAACAACAACAACAACAACAACAACAACAACAACAACAACAACCACAACCACAACAAACACAACCACGGCAGCAGCAACAACAACAGCAACAGCAACAGCAACAACGTATTCACCATCGCCAACAGGTATACCAGAAGTGTCGTCATCATGAGCATATTAATCGCTATCCTTTATCGTTATCATCGTCGTCGTCGCTCATCAGCATCGCCGTAGCCAACACGACGCCAAAGAACCCACCGCCTGTTACGACTCTCCCAAGCCTCTGCGCACGAGACACCACACGTCGCGGCATCGACGTGCCCCCAGGGAACGGGAGCCGCCGAGAATGCTTGGCCGGTCCGGTGGCCGGACTTGCAGCAGGCAGCTGGACGTTGTCGGGGGCGCGCAAACAGGGACTAGCGATCCATGGCTTCGGCGCGCGGTCGCCAAGTCCACGGATCGGGCGAGGCGCCCTCCCCCAAATGCGGCCGGTGCCGCCCCGATCGGCGGCGGCAACCCGCGATTCCCCGTGGAAACGGGACCCGTCGCTAATCCACGCCCCCATCAATCCATGTCGGCGATCGCCTGATTCTCTGGGGCCCGTGGAGGGCCCCGAGGGGCCGAACACGGCGAGTGACCTCGACGAGGTCCTCATCCCGAGCCGCACAATGTGTGTGTGTGTGTTGTCAACGTTTGTTCCATGACCCATCTTGTAAACATACAACCCCACGTTGGGATCCAACGTGGGTGTGGTGTCCAGGCCAAAAAGTAGTCGCGTTGGTGGCACTCGTAGAAATAGTCGTAGTAGTAGTAGTAGTAGAAGTACTAGTAACCTCGCCTGACACTGCCAAAGCAGTGCTCGACACAAAGCTGCCCGGGGCGCCCCCGTCGCGGCGCGGCGGCCGCCGCCAGGCAAAAATCGAAGCTCGCAGGGCTGTGCGGGAGCGCACGCGCGCGAGGGGGAGCGGCCGCGGGGCGCCTTCGGCAGGAAGCCCTCGACGATGCGGTCGAACTGCGAGCCGGGCGGCAGAGGGGCCCGCCGCTGTCTTGCACGATGGGCGGTGGCCAGGGCTGGGCCTAGACGCTGTTTTTCGTTTTGGCTTCGTTTCGTTGTTCGCTCTGCTCCCTCTGCCTGTTTTCCTGCACCTCCCTGCCAGAGCGGAGAAACAAAACACAGCCGAAGTCCAGCAAAACAGCGTTTAGGTTTAGTTCGAGCATGCCCTCCTACAGGGGGATTTTGGACGAAATATAAAAATACAACAACAACAACAACAACAACAACAACAACAACAACAACAACAACAACAACAACAACAACAACAACAACAACGACAACGACAACGACAACGACAACGACAACGACAACGACGACGACGACGACGACGACGACGACGACGACGACGACGACGACGACGACGACGACGATAACAACAACAACAACAACAACAAAAAACAAAAAAAACAAATGCTCTCAAAAAATACTAGAAGAATCGTCCCCAGACCATTTCTGGTGTGACTACTGGGGGATATTTCTCCCGTGGAGCGGCGTGCCCGACGTACGTTCAGGCCCAGCCCCGGGCGGAGCCCAGAGGAGGGGGAGGAGAGGAGGAGGAGGAGGAGGAGGAGGAAGAGGAAGACGAGGAGGAGGAGGAGGAGGGAGGAGGGAGGAGGAGGTGAGGAGAGGAGGAGGAGAGGAGGAGGAGGAGGAGGAGGAGGAGGAGGAGGAGGAGCCCAGAAATCCGGGGGCGGGCGGCGCGGAGGCTGCTCTCGGGGCCCTCGCCCGCCCCGGGACGCGTCAAAACACGCGGTTCGCGGCGGCGAGCCCGGCGGGCTCGGCAGGGAAGCGGCCCCAGGGCCTCTGGGGCCCGCGCATCGGAAACAGCCGGACGGCTGGGGATTACAACGCCTCCTCCTCCTCCTCCCTCCTCCTCCTCCTCCTCCCTCCTCCTCCTCCTCCCCTCCTCCTCCTCCTCCTCCTCCTCCTCCTCCTCCTCCTCCTCCGCCTCCCTCCTCGTCTTCCTCTTCCTCCTCCTCCTCCTTCCTCCTCCTCCTCTTCCTCCTCTCTTCCCCCTCCTCGTTTTCCTTCTCCTCCTCCTCCTCCTCCTCCTCCTCCTCCTCCTCCTCCTCCTCCTCCTCCTCCAATCAGGTGGGTCAGGAGCAGGAGCCCCCTCGCCGAGGGCGTAGGGCCACACGGCGGTGCACTGGAGGCGAGGAGCACTCCCAAGGCGGAGAGCCCGAGCACGAAGAGCAGAAGGGTGCTGCTGCAGGGGTACAGTACAGGGCAGTTCTAATGCATAGGATTTAAACATATGACTGTTAATACATGAAAGAATGTATGCATGAACTCATCGTTTTGAATACACAGGGTGTTTAACAATATAGGATTGCTAATACATGATTACTGTATGGATAAGTGTATGCATGAACTCATCGTTGTTTGTTATACTAAATCCCTGCATGTTTAATACATGATCCGCACGCGGAGCATGTATTAAAAACGGCACTGTAGGTTAGTGCGGCGTCGGCGCGCGCAAAGGTTTGTGACAGCGTGTCGATCTTTCGACCCTGAAACGATGGTGGCCCCGATCGTTCAAGGTTGAACTCCGTCGGGTCCTGTTGCGTGACACTGCCTCTCGGTGCTTCCGCGTTGGTTTATCATGCGGAGTTCAACCTTGAACGCCTTCGCCGGAGTCGCTGGCGCGCCATCGCCACATAAACCTACCGTACGACTATTGCTAAACCTGATGCCAGATGTATCGCGTTTACCGGCGTCTGCCAGAACACAACACGAAGAACATGAGGGCACCCCTGCACCACATACAGGGCTGCTCTTGAATATCACTGCTCTTAAATATCTCATGCCAGCTGCATCGCTGTTACCAGCGTCTGCAGGGAGCCCACAAAGGACGTACGCGCCAAGCTATGTACATGAACACGGCCCCTCGATCCGCGAGACTGGCCGCGTTGTACGAGCATTTGGGCAATGCGTACTCTCGAAACCAGCGTGGATTCATGTACGTATACGTCCTTTTTCTGCCCCTGCGTCTGCACACAGACAAAAGGATCCCCCATATCTTCCCATATTTTCTGGGTTTGTGTCTTCCCCCCCACTTCCCATATTTCCCCATACTTTCCTGGGAGTGGACGATGAATTGTGTCTGTGTTTTTTCCCCTCCTGAGTTACCAGCGTTAGACGCTCGTTTTGGGGACCTTCTTGGAGCCACTCGCTCCACTCGGTCGTCGAAGCTGCGTCGAACGTCCGTCGACCCGCGTCGAACCTGAGTCAAACTCGAGTCGAACCTGAGTCGAACCTGAGTCGAAGTTGAGCCGAAGTGGAGTCAGACTGGGGTCGAACAGATCCGCTAGGTGGGCTCCGGGAAGGTCCCCGAAACGAGCATCGAACCAGCGTCTGCACACGCGACACGCCGTGCAGCATTCGGGGATGGACAGACCTCCCTTTAGTAAAACGTGGTTTAGTGAAAACGACTTTGGGCCCAAACCTGGCGGGCGCAAGCCTGGAAAATAACGGCCACGGCGCCCTCTCGAAAACCGAAAACGGACAATTCACTAATCGACGTGTCACTGTTGGGGGTTCTGTCCACCCCCGAAGCACGCGCCCGCACGTGCCCCGAGGCGGCGGCCCGCGCGCACCCGGCCCGAGGCGGCAGCCCGAGGGCGTGCGCGGCTGGCTGCCCCTGACGGAGGCCCCCGGGAGGCAACCTGCAGAACCCCCCCCCCGAGCCGCTCGCAGGCACGGCCCCGCGGCGGCCCACGACGGGGGCCCACGCCGGGCGGCGGCGTCGTGGAAGGGGCCCTGGGACACACAGATAAATACACAAGTAAAATAATTCCCCATAGACCCTGCGAAATGCTTAAGAAATCATGGGTTGAGAAATTCATAGTCTCAGATTTTGAATAAAAACCAGAACTTCTATTAAAACCTTAGAACTTACATTGAAACATTAAGAATAATCGAGACTCTGGCCGAAAACGTAAGTTTTCTTAAGCATCGCCTAGGGTGTACTTTCCCATATTTTCTGGGTCTTTGTCTGCCCCCCCACTTCCCATAGTTGTCCATATGTTCTGGGGAATCGGCGGTTCATTGTGTCTGTGTGTGTTTTTGTTCCCCTCCTGGGCTTCGTGTCGTAACGACCCTCTTCCGTTGCCCGCTGCACTTTGGCCTTACGGCGCCCCGTGCCCTGTGCACCACCCATCTGCTCCAAGCGCGGCTGGTGTGTACGGCGGGCTCGTGTCGTAACGACCCTCTCCCGCTGCCCGCTGCACTTTGGCCTTAGGGCGCCCCGTGCCCTGTGCACCACCAAGCTGCACTCCTCCTCCTCCTCCTCCTCCTCCTCCTCCTCCTCCTCCTCCTCCTCCTCCTCCTCAGCCTGGGCTTCTTCAGCACGGCGCGCTGGACGGAGTTCGCTCGCAGAATTGGCGCCTCCGCCTGCCGACCGCGCCGGAGGACCCCCTGCGCCGCCGACTTGGAAAAGTCGTCGCGACCCTGGCACTGGTGTCGGACACCGCGCGCATCGCTCTCAAGCTTGAACGCTCGGCGGCTTTCCGATCGCCAGGTCGTTCCACTACTGGCCGACTCAGGTCGTTCTCAGCTGGGCCTTCTGGGCCTCCCCTGGGCCTGCCCGAGGCTTACCCCTGGGAAAAAGGCCTTCGCCAGGCCCAGGTCTGCTTTCCTGACTCTTCCGCAGGCTCGCCCAGGACGGCATACCGCGACGGTGCCGCGGCGCTGTAGCCTCGGAACGCCCAGGGCGGGGTCGCCGCCCCGTCGTCGTCCCGATGCGGAGCTGCCGTCCCCCTTCGGCGCGCCGCCGGGCGTCAGCACCGGAAGGATGGCGCGGGCGATCGAGGCGGAGAGGAGGCTCGACGCGCGGCAGAGGGGCCAAAGAGGGGGCTCGAGGCCAAGGTGCGAGCGAGGCAGAGAGGAGGCTCGACGCGCGGCAGAGGGGCAAAGAGGGCGTTTTCTTCTTCGACGTTTCGACATTGAGCGAAGAGGGGGGGGCAGAGAGGGGGTGCTGGCTCTGGACCTCTGCTCGGCGCGGCTGCTTGCGACAGTGCGTCCTACGAGGGGAGGCCCCACCTGCTCGAAAGAGGCGCCAGAAACAGCCAAGATCTACTCCATGGGGGGGGGCATGGGGGGTGCGAGGGCCCGCGCCGATCGGCACAACAATGAATAAGAAAACGGTCACAGACAGGGGGTTCGAGGCGAAGGGTGAGCGAGGCGAGGAGGGGGCTCGACGCGCGGGGGACGCCTGCCAGACCACAACCCCCAGCTTCGGGAACTTGGGCCTGGGCAGGGCAAGCCGTCGCCACCGCCGTCGACGTCGCCGTCGCCGTCGCCGTCGCCGCCGTCGTCGTCTTCGTCGTACCCGTCGTCCTCGTCGTCCTCGTCGTCCTCGTCGTCCTCGTCGTCCTCGTCGTCCTCGTCCTCATTGTCATCGTCCTCATCGTCATCGTCGTCTATTTTCCGTTTCCCCATTCATCTCCAGGCTCGTCCCAACCTCCTCCCTCCGAGCTGTCCGCGGTCACCCCATGCTCTGCACTCCCCTGCTTTTGCTTTAGCATATCCTCTCTATCCCCCATCTGTTTTCAATGTGTTGATTCGTCTCCATCTTTGTATGCATATAGGTGCATGTATCAATATCTACACCTATATACATATACACATGTGTGTCGCTCTATGGCAACTTGTGTGTGTACCTCTCTCTGGACAGATCACTGCCCCGCGGGCATTTCAGCGCCGTGCCGAAGCGAAAGCGGACCCGAACCCGAAACATCCCCTGGCCCTCCCCCCGACCTTGAGCGCACGGCGCTGATCCGTGCAATCTCTTCCCTGGCGCGGCCTGCCAGCATTAGGTCGGGCCTGTCCCCCTACAGGGGGATTTTGGACGAAAAATAAAAAATACCCCAAACATACCCCAAAAAGGTCAAAAAATACTCAAAAAATAGTCCCCAGACTATTTTTTTTACTATTTTTTGATTATTTTGGGGGTATGTTTTGTTTCTCGTCGAAAATCCCCCTGTAGGGGGACAGGCCCGACTTAATGCCAGCACGAGCCCGCCTGCGCAGGCCTCGAGGCACGGGCCTCGCCCGCCGCCCACGCCGACACCGGCAGCGCCCACGAGGAGGGCGTCCAGGGAGGGGGGGGTCGCAAAACCATGGCTCGAGGCCACGCGCACGGCCGAGGGGGAAAACCAGGGACCCGATTGAACGAAGAACCCCCAACTGGGGTGCTAATTTGGTGGGGTCTCGAAGGGGATGGGGATGGGGATGGGGATCGGTTAAACGATACCGACGTCCATGCTGCTCGAGCTGTATGGCGGGGCCCCCCACTGCTGAGCTGACTGCCAGTGCGCAGGCTACCGGCTGCTCGTGGGGCCTGCGACCGCCCCACGAGCAGCAGCCCTGGCCCGGCTCGAGCTGTCCGAGCCACGGCCCGCCCGAGACAGGGTCCGTTCGGCGGGCCTGGCTATCAGGGTGAGGTCAGGCATGTCCCCCTACAGGCGGATTTGTTGTAGGAAAAATAAGAAATTGTCAAAACATACTTTCTTAAAAAGGCTCAAAAATGCTCAGAAAATCGTCCCCAGACTCTTTGTTTCCTGTTTTGAACATTCCTCCTGTTGAGGGACAGGCCCGACTGAAGGCTATTAGGGGAAGCTGAAGGGGATGGCTGGCTCGGCAGGGGGGGAGGGAACATGGACCCAGACTATTTTTTGACCATTCTTGAACATTCCTCCTGTAGAGGGACAGGCCCGACTTCATATTGGGGGGAGGGGATGACTGGCTCGGCGGGGGGGGGGAAGGGAACAGTGGACCGGGAGTCGGCGACACATCGCCAAGAGATCGGCGGTGGGCTCGCGACAGCGAGACCGCGCGCTCCCGAGCGGGCTGGAGACACCCAGGCCCCCCATTGGCGCGATGAACGGGCGACTGGGGGTCGAGGCAGCCCACCTGCTGAGGCCATCCTTGGAGGCCTGGAAATGGGCACCAACACCAACACAGGGGGGGGCCTCCGCAGGGGGAAGATCATCCCAAATTCCGGTGCTGGTGGTAATACTTCGGCCACCCTGGAAGCCCGAATGTTACCACCATCACCGAGATCGGGATCTTCTTCCCTCGGTGGAGGCACATCGCCAAAATTGGTGCTGGTGTCAACCTCTAGGCCTGCGACATCCCCCCTAACTGAAGGGGCCCTGGGACACACATGGAGAAAAAAAAACACACAAATAAAAGCATTCCCCATAGTTGTTCATATTTTTTAGATTTTCGTATCCCCCCCCACTTACCAGATTTCCCAACATTTTCTTGGGGATCGACCATTAATTGTGTCTGTGTGTTTTTTCCCCTCCTGACGAACGTTGCCCCTGGCGTTCGGGTGACAACTCGGCGCTCCGGCGGCCGGCCGGGACGCTCCGGGCACCCCTCGGGAGCGCTCTCGGCGCGGCGCCGCTGCTGGCCAGCACCCCGAGGCTGGAAAGCCGCCAGGCACCAACGAATCGTCCGAAAACCTCGACGAGCACGTCCGATAGCGTTCGTTGCCCCGATAACCCCAGGTCGCCTGCCTTAACGAGTATTGGCCAGTAGAGGCCTCCTAGATGGGGCCCGAGTAGATGGGGTCGGAGGATCGCGCCGCATCGCCGATACATCGGCGATGCATCAGCGATGTATCGGCGATGCATCGGCGATGCATCGGCGATGCACCAGCGATGCATCGTCGACGTGGGCGATGCATCGGCGACGCCGAAGTAAAGCAAATCGGGTTCCACATCGAGCCGCATGGGCGATGCATCGGCGACGCGGCGCGATCCTGGGACCTCATCTACTCCGACCCTATCTAGGAGGCCTACAGGGCAGTTTTGAATACATAAGATTGGTATACACATGTGACTTTTAGTACATTATATGTATGCATGATCTCATCGCTGTTTTTTTAGTAATAAATCCCTATGTTTATATATATATATATAGATATATAGAGCCAGGCGGCCTGCCTCGCCTCGACTTGGCCTCGCCGGGCACCGCCCACCTCTTCGGGCGGCGCTCCGTGGGCCGCCTCTCGCTGGGGGGGGGCGCTTCGGACGCGAGAAGGGCGACGTCACCTGTCTCGCGCCTGCACAAACGACCGGGTCTCCATCACCTCAGGGGGAGGAGGAGGAGGAGGAGGAGGAGGAGGCGGAGGAGGAGGAGGAGGAGGAGGAGGAGGAGGAGGAGGAGGAGGAGGAGGAGGAGGAGGAGGAGGAGGAGGAGGAGGAGGAGGAGGAGGGGGAGGACGAGTGCAAGCCCAAGACTCATGAAAAATGTTGCCGTCAACCCATCCCTCCAGGCTCCCTCCTCATAGGCCCCTGCAAGGATTTATTTTCACGGAGGGAAGTGCACCGTTGAAGGGCCCTAGAAAGATCCACTCACTGAGGGAGGGCTCCGTTGGAAGACATCTGCTTGAAGATCCTGCACCGTGCCAGAACACCGCTCCTCCTGGGACGTCAACGCAGCAAAACTGCGTCACTGTTGCGTCCTGGCGATCCTGAATCGTGTGCCAGGGCACCGTTCAGGGGACTTCAACACCGCGAATCAACGTAACTAACTGCTGCGCCCTGGAGGAGAAGGAGGAGGAGGAGGAGGAGCAGGAAGATGAGGAGGAGGAGGAGGAGACAGAGGAGGAGGCAGAGGAGGAAGAAGAGACAATCCTACATCGTGCAAAAAAAACGCCCTCTATCTTGACAAAAACGAATGCGCGCGGCGCTAAAGCGAGAGCCACATTTTGAAAGCGGCCCGCCCTCCAACCGTGAAGCTCTTGGTCAAGCTTAAAGCGAATGTGCGCGGCGCTAAGGCGAGAGCCTAATGTTGAAAACGGTCCGCTCTCCATTCACGAAACTGCTGCAATGGTTTGAGACGAATGCGCGCGGCGCTACAGCGAGAGCCACATGTTGAAAACGATTCGCCCTCAACCCGTGAAAGTCTTGCAATGCTGGAAGACACGTGTGCGCAGCTCTACGGCGAGAGCAACATTTTGCAAGCGACCCGCCCTCTATCTGTGAAACTGTCGTGAATTGAAAGCTTCAGAGTCATGAGTGGTGAGAAATCTTAAGCGAACACACATAGCCCGCCCCACCGACTGGCCTCGGGGTGCGACAGGAAGAAGTTATCTATAAGAGGGATGGAGGAGGAGGAAGAGAAGGAGAAGGATGAGGAGGGGGAGGAGGAGGGGGAGGAGGAGGAAGACGAGTGTAAACCCAAGGAGTCATGAACGATGTTGGAATAATCACTCCTTCCAGGCTTCCTCTTCATAGGCCTTACAACGGTTCATTTACACTGAGGGAGCTGCCTCGTTGGAAGACAACCGTTTGAAGAGCCTGAAGCGCGCCAGAACATTATTCTCGAGACCCCAACGCCACGGATCAACCTGACTGTTGCGTCTTGACAATCCTGAATCGCGACAGAACGCCATTCCGGGGACTTCGACACCGCGAATCAGTGTAACTGCTGCACCCTCACAATTTCTGGTACGTTGACCATGGGAATCCGTGGCACCTCTAAGAAAATAACTGCACGGCGCTAATGCGAGAATCACATGTTGCAAAGGAACCGCCCAACCCGTGAAACTGCTGCAATTGTTTTCGACAAATGTGCGCGGCACTAAAGCGAGAGCCACAATGTCAGAAAGAACCGCCCTCAATCCGTGAAACTGCTGCAATTTGTTACGACAAATGTGCGCGGCGCTAAAGCGAGAGCCTCATGTTGAAAACGGCCCGCCCTCAATCCGTGAAGCTCTTGTAAATTTTACAACGAATGTGCGCGGCGCTAAATCGAGAGCCACAGTTTGAAAACGATCCACCCTCAATCCGTGAAACTCTTGCAGTTTTCTACAACGAATATGCGCGGCGCTAAGGCGAGAGCCACATGTTGCAAAGGAACCGCCCTCACTCCGTAAAACTCTTGCAATTTCTTGAAAGAAGCTTGCGGCGCTAAGGCGAGAGCCACATTTTGAAAACGGCCCACCCTCCATCTGCAAAACTGTTGCCAATGTTTCAGCTTCAGGGTCATCGATGGCGAAGAAGTCTCAAGCGAAACGCCCGGTCCACCCTTTCGACCAGCCTCGGGGTGCGACAGGGAGAACCTATTGAGAAGGACAAGGAATGGGGAGAGGAGGAGGAAGGGAGGGAGGGAGGGATTGAGGGAGGGAGGGAGGGAGGGAGGGAAGGAGGAGGAGGAGGATGTAGAATCGAGGAGGAGAAGAGGAGGAGGAGGAGGAGGAGGAGAGGGAGGGAGGGATTGAGGGAGGGAGGGAGGGCGGGAAGGGTGGAGGGGCAGAAGTGCAGGCGGCCGGGCCTGTAGAGGTCGACCAGCGAGTGTCTCAGCAGGAGCGCCAGCGCGCAGTGGAACGAGGCCGAGTCGTCGTCGGGGAAGACGCCGATGAGCGTGGCCTGCCCCGGGGGGGATGCCGGCTGGCGCGAAGCAGCCTGGGTCGCCTCGCCTCGGGCAGCGCGACCCGCAGTTCAGCAAGGAAGGGGGGGGGGAAGCGGGTCCTCAGGGGCACGGGTCCTGGACCCCGGGGAGGCCTTCCCCCGGGACGCGATCCTCCTCCCGAGAAAATGTATGACAGTCCTGGGGCCCGTGGAGGGCCCCGAGGGCCCGAGAACGGCGAATAACCTCTCGGGGGCGCGCAAACATGGATTGGCGATCCATGGATTTGGCGCGCGGTCGCCGAATCCATGGATCGGGGGAGGTGCCCTCCCCAAAATGCGGCCGGTGGCGCCTCGCTCGGCGGCGGCCATCCGCGATCTCCTATGGAAACGGGACCCGCCGCCAATCCACGCCCCCCTAATCCATGTTTGCGATCGCCTGACTCTCTGACAGTCCTGGGGCCCGTGGAGGGCCCCGAGGGGCCGAAAACGGCGAGTGACCTCCACGAGGTCCTCATCCCGAGCCGTTCTCTGACAGTCCTGGAGCCCGTGGAGGGCCCCGATGGCCCGGGAACGGCGAGCAAAGCCTCGGGACCGTTTCCCGCGAGGGCCCGCTTCCCCCGTGGGCGAGCAGCGCTTCGGCGCGAAGCTTGCGCCTTCCACGCCCCTCGCGCCCGCCCGCCGGAGGAGGGCGGCGCTCCAGCTCCGGCCGCGGCGCGCGAGGCGCCGCCGCCTTCGCGCCACTGCAGGCAGAAACCAGTGAGGGGACCATTTTCCACCGCCACCACCATATGTAGGAGGAGGAGGAGGAGG